CCCACCTCCAACTCCCACCACCCTCCTCCTCGAGCTGCTTTGGGACAGCGACCTATAAACATCGCTCCTTCTTACACAAACGCCCTTTCCGTTCTTTCGCGAGGCGGATGGTGATTCTTCCTATCTTGTTTTATTTTTTTACGATTGACAACGGAGACGTTATTTTGTCTTTTACGTTTATATTCCGCCCGGATATAATGTTGCGTGGACACCGTTTGTGGCAGTCGTTCCACCCTTTCACACCTTGGCGTGGCGGGGCGTGGCGGCGCGTGGCGGCGCCCCCGGGTGGTCCGGCAAGCGGCGCGGCGCCCCCCTGGGGGTGTGACTGTGTGTGACACGGTAGGCGACAGGTGGACTGGGAGGGGCGGGAGAGAGACAGAGAGGGGGGAGGGAGGTGGAGAAAGGGAGGTGGCGAGAGAGAGAAAGAGAGAGAGAGAGAGAGGGAGGGGCGAGAATGCCTGTCGAGACGATGAGGTACGTAATAGAAGAAACGACGTCGTTGTAAGCGGGTGTAGAAAAAAAGTACACACACGCGGAAACATTTTCTAGCGTCACATCGAATGATTTTGCTGCATTTAAAGTTGATCGTTTATCATGTATGTTTTTGACCCAATTCAGACAACACATACCAGTGAAATCAAGTGAAATATATATGACTAATATGCATTATTTAGACTCATTACACGGTAAAAACAAATGTCTCATTTTTTGAGGGAAAAGGGAAAATTTTAAGGAACTCCCCTGGTTTGGCGAAAACTCCTTAGATTTCTCAGTCTCCTCAAAAAGTGTGGGATTTTTACTAATTTTTTGAGAAGATTCCTTAAAATCTGAGGCGAGATTGGAAGGACTCTTCCTCAAACATGTAAGTTCCTCAAAGTTTTCCTCAAAAATGAGCATTGTCTTTACCGTGTATAAATTTTGCACAACACGATAAAAGTGCAAACTTTGCACTGCAATGCAATTGCTTGCATGAGCAGAAATTGCCTCATTAACGTGCAAAATTTACATTTGTAAATGTGTAAAATTTATGTGTGTGCGCGCGCTAAGGACTATTGCGTTCGAGATGGGAATGGCGCTGCGATTATTCGTGCTCAGGTGAAAGTGGGGGGCGAAAGTGCGAGTGACACCTCGTGACAGCTGGCAAGGTGGTGGTGGGAGGGTCAGTCCGACAGAGAGTCGTGGCGGGAGAAGTTTGAAACTAAGCCCAAACAACTTGAGAGGTAATAAAGGACGATGTGGGAGCGGGCGCCCCCTCCCGCTTCTATACGTGCGCCGCTATCGTCGGGCAGCCGCGCCCCGCCCACCACCGGAACCACCCCGCCGCGCCCCACCCCGCCCCGGCACGCCCTGCAGACCACCCCCTACAAAACCCGCCCCTCGTATCGCTCGTAAATTGACACCACACTTTATCAAATCAATTCTCGGACTCGCCCCCGCCCTTTGCGAACTCCCTCTCTGTCTCTCTCTCTCTCTCTCTCTCTCTCTCTCTCTCTCTCTCTCTCTCTCTCTCTCTTTCTCTCTCTCAAGCCCTCCCCTTTCTTTCTCCCCGTAGGTTCAAAGACCTTGGTTAAAATGCATTCAAGATAACACCACAGTACCACTTTAACAAACTCAATTTCAATAAAGAAGTAA